CCTGCAGGTGCCGTCCCCCCCAGCAACGGAGACGGCTCCCGGCCAGGCCCCCAGCCCGGCCTGCGGTCTGCAAGTCGCTGGTGGAGTTCGGCGACCTTCAGCTCCCGGGCCTCGACCTGCTCGGCAGCGTTCTCCTCGTCCAGAGAGGTGCCTGACGGAAGCTGTTCCTGCGCGACCAGCGTGAGCCATCGTGCCGATTGCCAGTTTCCGTCGCGGATGGCCATCGACCGCGCCTTGAACTCCAGCACGACCAGATCCGCCCTTGATGACCTCCCCGCGCAGGATGCCGTCGAGCGCCAGCCCCGGCGGGCGGAGGACCCGCCCCTCGACTGACCCCAGCGTCTGCGGCGGGTGAGCATCGAAGAACACCGTGTTCAGGAACTGTGCGACACACGGGGCCCGCAGGTCGGCCTCGCCTGCAGACAACTGCTGAGTGAACTGGCTGCGCAGGTGGCCAAGCCCACTCACGAGGAGAGCGTCGGGCCGCTGTCAAGCAATCCAGCCGAACAAGTCGCGCTTGCTGCTCACGCCCTGGTAGCGGTCGCGGCCCCCAAGGCGCCCTGTGTCGCTCTCCGCGCCGTCCTCCACGTCGTCGTCGTCGCGGTCCAGGAGCGCCGCGGTCACGGCCGATGCTGGCCTGCTCCTCCTCCCCGAGGCGCCAGTGCGCGCTGGGGCAGCAGCGGCGGCTCGGCCAGCAACCTCCTGTGCCAGGCGCTCGCCTACGGCTCCTGCCGGGCGCGCAGCGTTCTTGGGCGTGCCCTGCCTCGGCACACCACGAGCTGCCCTGCCCTCCAGCCGCGCCAGCCGCGCCTCGAGCTCGGGGTCCTCGGCGGTCTCCTCGAGCCCGGCGATCTCCTGGTCGAGTGGGCTCGCCTCTCCTGGACCGCCCGGGGTCTGGGTGCCCTCCACCTCGCGGGCGCACTTGTGCGGAGGCCCGCGAGGCTCCTCCTCGACTTTGTTGCTCCCATCCCCGAGCGGCCAGCCGCCGACCTCTCCAGGCAGTGGCTCGGCCGAGGGCGCGTCGGTCCGCACAGGCGCCCCAGGATTCGCTGCTGGGCAGATGAGCTTCGCCCGCTCGCGGGCCACGCCGCGGGGGTCCACTACCTGCCACACGACCAAGTGCTCGACCACAGCGCCAGCTGGAGCGACCGTCCCGCACTTGTTGGCGCTGCACCTGCAGAGGTGGAAGACCGTGGCCGCGGGGCGCGCGCCCCGCTGCCCGCAGGTGGCCGCCTACCATGAGATGTACGGGTCCCTGGCGCCCACCTGCCGGGCCTTGATGAATCTGCCGAAAGTGTCCGCCTGGTAGGCGACCTCGACCTCGAGCATCTTGACGCCCTGCGGCGCCCCTGCGTCGTCCTAGACCCGCGCCAGGACCCGTGCACCAGCCCTCGGCGGCAGCCCCGTCACCAGCTCGTCGTTCAGCGCCGCGTCGAGCCAGGCTCCTCTCGGGAAGGGCCACCCGCCGGCAGCTGGGGCTGCCCGGTCCATCGGGCTCCTCGCCAGCAACAAAGCGGGAGAGGGGCGACCCGCGCCCGGGATCCTCGTCTCCCAGCCAGGTCTTCGCTCCCCTCACCCCACCAAGGCTGCCAGCGAGGCTGATCAGAATCAGTCGTCTGAGCGTGGCCCTGCAAGTGGCCGCGCGCGGCGCGGCAGTCTTTCAGTAGACAGAGTGGCTCGGCAGCGGCCACAGACGGGCGGCACCGCCCGGTGACTCCGCTGCCTGTCCCAAGCCAACACAGCTACGGAAGATGGATGAAACTCACGTTATCCATCAACGGCGTCGCGCACGCTCAGGTGGACTCCGCATAGGTTTCCTTGGAAGGTTCATATATATATATATATATCTATATATATATATATTATTATATTATATATATATATATAGAAATATACACTAACACCACGCGCCCTTCGCGCGGATAGGTTCTAGTCACAGCTGGGCCATGTTTTTTTCCGCTCGTGTCATGGGCGACGCTGCGAATTTCTTCGCATCTGAATTTTGCGGAGCCTCCGTCCGCGGCGGGCTTGGAGGGCAGCGCGGCACGCGAGCAGCTCCTCGGCGACATGGAGGCACTGCGGGGAGCGCCGCGAGCCGCGGTGACGACGGGGCCGCGGACCGACTGAAGTGCCATCGCGCGCACAGCCGGCAATCACGGGAACTAGCCAGCAGTCACGGGAATTGCTACGGGGAGCACGCCTGTCATGCCTCCCGCGGGCGTGGATACCCGCGCCAGTGATGCCGTGTCGTGTGGCTCTTTGCGCTCGTCGTGCTGGTCGGCAATCGGTGCTCAACGTTGTCCTGGTCTTCGTCGCCCGCCACGCTCCCCGTTCGATATCGTGGAGTTTTCGGGCTGGCATTTTGCTCGCCCCGCCTGGCTACCTGCATCGCAGCACCGGGATTCTGCCAGATTGATGTGCGCTTGGCGACCTTAAACGTGTACCTGTTGTCTCTCACTTTGCTACCGGCCCTTCTCGGCTGGAGGACTATCAGCGCTGCCGTGGGTTTCGCAGGCGTGATATATCCCAATTTCCCACATAACTTGGAGCAGCCAGAGTCTCCCAGTGGAGTGCTCCTGAGTTCTTCGTCGTGGCGCTCGGCCTCAACGTCGTGGCGTCCGTGGCCCTCAGGGCAAAAGCGTTGATCATGGCATCGTCACTTAGCTATTCCTATTCCTAGTCCTCCCTGGTTCGCTCTTGTCCCTCGCCCTGCTCCCTCCTTGCTCCTCTGTGGTCCTCCTCCTCCCCTGCTCCCTGTGCCCCCCTCCCCCCCTGCTCCCGCTGTCCTCCTCATCACTCGCCTCCTTATTCCATGCTCCCCCTGTGTCCCTGATCTGGCATCTTGGATGTCTCGTGGGATCTCTCGACGGCCTCTTGGAGGCGTCGTGAAAGCCTTCTGTGGGGCCTAGGGGGGCCTATGTGGGCCCTCGTGGAAGCCTCCTCCCTTCTCCTCTCTCCTGCTCTCTCCTCCTCCTCCTCCTCCTCCTCCTCCTCGTCCCATACTCCTCTTTCCTCTTCCTCCGCCACGATCTCCTCCTCTCTCCTCCTCCTCCTCCTCTGCCTCCTTCTTCTCCCTACACTTCCTTCTCTTCATCTTGCCCGTCCCCCGCCTGCTTCTGTTCCTCCTCCTCCCCTCCCAATCTCCTCCTCCTCCTCCTCCTCCTCCTCCTCCTCCTCCTCCCCCACCCTTGACCAGAAGCCGTCGCACGCCTCGGCGGGGGCGGGGCGAGGTTCGAACGTCGAGGTTCGAGGTCTTTCGGATTTTTACCATCCGGGAGGGCTCTGGGAGGCCAGAAACGTCCAAAACTCGAGGACCCCTTTCTCTCCTGGCGAGAGTTGCGGGATCTCCGCGGCATACGACGACGACGACGACGACGGCGACGACGGCGGCGGCGGCGGCGGCGACGGCGGCGGCGATGGCGACGGTGACGGCGACGGCGACGGCGACGGCGACGACGACCGCGACGACGACGACGACGAAGACGTGGGCCCTCTTTTACGGTCTGGAGGCTCGGATCGGTCTTGAGTTCTCGTTGGTTCTTCGGTCTTGCGTCGAAGCTCGGGAGCTCAACAAAGCCGTTACAAACCCGTGGAAACCAATTCATTTTGCGTTTTGGGGACCTCTTGGGGGACGTCTGGGAACCCTCTTGGAACGTCTGGGGCGCGGTCTGGGCCGCATGGAAGCCTTCGTGGAGCGCCGTGGGAGCGTGTGCCATCTGCATGCGACCACGTGCGTCTTGCCATGATTTTCTGGCGGCTCGGGGGCGACTCTGTGCCTTGTTGGGCTGTCCTGGAGGTGTCTTGGGGCGGCTTTGGGGCCTTTCTGGTGCTCTGGGCGCCCCTGGGGGGAGCCCCTGAGACCGTCTTGAAGCGGGTGGTGGTGCTTCTGGGGCTTGGTTTGTGCGTCGGCAAACCGCAAAAGGCGGAAGCTCCAATGAACACAACAAACCTATGGGAAACACGTGTTTTTTGCCTCTTGGTACCCTCTTGGAGGCCGTCTGGGAACCCTCTTGGAGCATCTGGGGCGCGGTGTGGGCCGTCTGGGAGCCTTCGTGGAGTGCCTCAGGAGAGTGGGGAGCCGTCTGGAGACGACCGCGGGCGTCTGGAAATGTCTTGGAGCGGCTTTGGGGCCTCTTGGACGCTCTGGGCACCCCTGGGGGGAGCCCCCGAAACCGTCTTGAAGCGGGTGGTGGTGCTTTCGGGGCCAGTTTCGTGCGTCGGCAAGCCGAAAAAGCAGAACCCCCCCAAAACGCCTCACACCTTTGGATTACATGTGAATTTTGCCTCTTGGGGGCCGTCTGGGAAGCCTATTGGAGCGTCTGGGGTGCGATTTGGGCCGTCTCGAAGCCTTCGTGGGGCGCCTTGGCAACGTGGTGGACCATCTGGAGACAACTACGACCGTGTGGGACTGATTTTCTGGCGGCTCGGAAGCGACTCGGGGCTCTCGGAGCGCCTCTGGAGCACCTCTGGGTCCCCTGGTCCCCCCATGCGCTGTCGTGGCCTCCGGTCTGGGATCTATATATGTATATATATATATATATATATATATGTATATGCATATTGTTCGTAACCATATATACACCTATTACATGCACATATGAAAAAGCGAAAGTCCAGAGCATGATGCGGGGCGAGGATGAGGGAGGATGAGGAGGAGGAGGAGGTGGAGGAGGAGGAGGTAGAGGAGGTGGAGGTGGAGGTGGAGGAGGAGGTGGAGGAGGAGGCGGAGGAGGAGGAGGAGGAGGAGGAGGAGGAGGAGGACGAGGAGGGAGATATAGGAGGGAGGAAAACGATAATGATGGTGCTGAGGGGAGGATGCGGAATAGGCGGTGGCGGCGACAACCTCCAGACCGTCCTGGGCCCGAAACGGGCCCGTCGACGACGACGTCGGCGACGAGGACAACGACGACGTCGGCGGCGGCGGCGACGCCGACGACGACGCCGACGACGACGACGACCCCGACGAACACGACGGCGTCGCGGATTCGCCGCCGACGCACCTGCGGCTGGCTGCCGCGGGCGCGGCGCGCGCCTCTCGGGGCTTCGGCAGGCGGCCGGGGCCTCGGGCCCCGTCGCGGCTCGGGCGGAGAAGGCGGCCGCAGGGGCGTTTCGTCACCCGTCGACGTTGGGGAAACAGGAACTACGAATTGTGCGACTGCAGTCGGGACTAAGGCAGAAAAACATGCTTCAAGAACGCGAGACCCTCCGCCGGCCTTAAGACACACAGAACATCCAAGGGCACCCTCCCCAGGGTGCACAAGAACATCCAAGAAACACGAAGAACACTCGAACAACATGAGGGCACCCTCCCCGAACCGACCTGGATCTTAGGAGGAGGACGAGGAGGAGGAGGAGGAGGAGGAGGAGGAGGAGGAGGAGGAGGATGGCGGAGGGGGAGGAGTGAGGAGGAGGAGGAGGAGGAGGAGAGGAGGAGGAGGAGGAGGAGGAGGAGGAGGAGGAGGAGGATACATATCCCTTCTGGCGGCGCAAGCGCGGGGGAAGAGGACGAGCCCACGCGGGCAGCCTGCGCGTCGCAGGGGCTGAGCACGCGCCCGCGCAGGGCCTCCGAGGGCCTCCGAGGGTGGGCACCGCGGCGCCGAGCGCGAGGGCAACCCCGCCGCGGCACCGTGCCGCCGGGAACGCTCGGCAGAGCGGCGGGAGGGAAGAGGGCGAAGGCGACGAGGGCGAGGAGGGGGAGGAGGAGGAGGAAGAGGAGGAGGAGGAGGAGGAGGAGGAGGAGGAGGAGGAGGAGGAGGAGGAGGAGGAGGAGGAGGAGGAGGGGAGGAGGGGGCGAGGAGGGGGAGGAAGGGGAAGGCGCGGCGCGGGCTGGGCCCACACACGACGTCGTCGTCATCGTGGTCGTGGTCGTGGTCGTCGTTGCCATTACTACATGATATCACTGCTGATCTTTGGCGTGGGCTTCAGGCGCTCTCGCCCCGATGCTGGCTACATTTTCAGAAACAGACGCTCCCGCTCGAGCGTAGGCTTGGTTCCAAGTCCCGGTTGGTGAAGGCCCAGCTTCGACGACGAGGGCTCCCGCTCGATACTTCCTCGCGATGTATCCCAGGACGCCTTGGCCAGAGAGGCCCCCCAATGCCCCCCAGTGCAAAAACGGCGCTCTGGCTCGAGGCTTCCTCGCAGTCCACTCCGGTTGGTGAAGTTCCGGCTGCGACGGCAGCGGCTCCCGCTCAATGCTGCCTCGCAATTTCTCCCAGGACGCCCTGGCCAGAGAGGGCGGTGCGCACTCAGAGTGCACTGCTGAATGCGTGCTTCTCCCGGGTGCTGGCATGACAGACCCCCCCAACAAGGGGGTTGGTTCGTAGACTTAGTGGGCGGGTGCAAGGGAGAGGGAGAAAGACGAAAAGGTCATAGCAGCCTGTCAGATCACATGTTCGCACGATGATCGTCGTCGTTATCATTAGCATCGTCGTCGTCGTCGTCGTCGTCGTCGTCGTCGTCGTCGTCGTCGTCGTCGTCGTCGTCGTCGTCGTCGTGTGGGGGAGTCCAGCGGAGTGGACCCCCATGCAGATCCAAACTAGACCGCGCCCTTCTAGGAGCTGCCAGGTACGCAACTGCCGCCACCTGCGCCCATGGGCGGGCCCAGCGGAATGCTGCCACGCAGATCCGAACAGGACCTCGTCCTCCCTGGTGCTGCGGGGAGGTCGTGTGCAGATCCCTCCTCTCTCATCCCTTTCCTTCCCTTCTGAAGGAGCAGCAGAGAGGGTAAACTGAACATCCTGAAGGTCCGAGCGGACTTCGGGGGTCGGCGGTGGACCACCCCCTGGCGGCGCCTCCGGCGTCGCCCCTGACACACACACGCAGAGGACAGACAGAGAGGGAGAGAGAGAGAGAGAGAGCCAAACTCACACAGACGACAGCGACAGAGGTTAAGTGGGACAGATGGAGAGAGAGAAAGAGAGAGAGAGAGAGCTCATAAGCGAGGGATGGAGTGGGCTGCGCTCCACTCCCCGCGCCCGGGGACCACCGAATCCAGCAGGAGCTTGATCACGGCTGGAAGCCGCTGCAGGGGAAACAAAAACATCTGCAAGGCAAGTCGAGGGAGAAGGGCGGACGAGTAGGGCGAGGGAGCAGGACTCTATGGCAGGGGACGGGAGGCAGAGGAGGCGGGAGGCGAAGGGGGCGGCGAAGGGAGGAGGAAGAGGAGTGAGGAGGGAGGTGGACGATGGGAGGATCATCAGGGGGGAGGGGCGAGGGCTTTTTTTTGG